CCCTGCCCGGGACCCTCTATTGTGATCCCTGTCAGAGCAGTCTGTGGTGGTAGCTGGGCACCATCTAGTTCTTGTGGACTCTGGCTGGTGGAGGCTGTGGTTCATGTGGTCCATTAGTCCTTTGGACTAATATTTTCCTTGTGTCTTTGGTTTTCTTCATTCTCTTTTGCTCTGAACGTGCCAGGACCAATAGATGTATCTTAGATGGCTGCTCGCAAGCCTAAGACCCCAGACAGTACTGTGGGTGAGACTTTTTGTGGGCAGAATGATCTTCAGGAAACGTGGATGTGGAACTGCTTTGTATGATTGGCTTTTAATTTTGGTATTATTTGTGTTGGAAGAGGAGATTGTGTCCTTCAGTTGATTGATTCTTTTTTCTCTTGTCACTGTTAGACATATTTCTTTGCATTAGGTTGTAAAGCCTTTTTAATACTTGGAAGCATTTTCGTATTATTTCATAGCTTCACTTTACAATTAAGATATTTGTATAGTATTTGAGAGCTTCCCCCCCACCCCCACTTATAATTATGTTGACTCTTCTTCAAGGAGGTATTATATGTGGTACTTATCTTGAAATTAAGGCAAACCTAGTGTAGGGATATATATGTTACTAGTGAAGGGAATAGTTTGAAATACCTGAATATCCTTTTTCCTGTTGTCAAAATTACACGTTAGTATTTAAAATATGTTTTGACTGGTAGACATTTTCTGGATCAAATTACACACATCATATTGAAGCCAACATACTCAGACTTGAGTCAGAATGAGTTTGCAAAATCTGGTTTAATTCAGATCTGGGGAGGGGAGGGGAAGGGAGCAAGATGTGAAAATACATATGCACAGGAACCTAATCAATGCTAGACAAACAATGTATTAGTTTACAATATAATAGGATAACCACAAATTTGAAGGCTCAAAGTGAGTCCATCAGCTGTAAATAGTTTTATATTTGGCTCAAGTGGCTGTTGAATATCAAGTGGTGCTGAGTTCCTCCAAAGCACCTAATGACCCCCCCCCAGCCTTGGAAGGAGTTTCACCACAGTCTCAGAAGAATCCCAGTTGTGCCTTTAATTCTTTTGGCCCTTGGGAGTCACTGCTACCCAAACACAAACGTAGACCAGGGATTTCCAATGGCCACATGTTATTGCACAGAGAGGTCTGTTCTAAGCCAGACTCTTACGGCTAAGAAGGTGTGAGATTAGCCCTTAAATAGTGGTCTAGCATTAACATGGTCTAAAAAAAGCATGTTAAGAAATAGCTCCTTAGTGATTATGAACCAGCTACTAGTTATCACACTAACAGAAAAGGCAACGTGGCAGCTTCACATTTCACATGAAAGACTAGCATTAACTGGGCCTAGCTTGCTGGCTTGACTTTCACATAAATCTAGTGATTGTTTTAAAAATCTAGTGATTGTTTTAAATTAGACCCAGGAAAAAATTTACATACTAGTCTTTTCTTCACATAAGACTTGTGTAGCATTAAAATTGTTATGGATTAATGATTATGCCATGAAGGCAAAAATGTGTAACTCTCCTTTGCCAAAACAGAAACTCCCTGTTCTGACTCCTGTCCAGTTTCCAAAAAAACAAAACATACACCTTTGTTATTGCACATCTTTCACACAGACTTGTGTAGGTATAATATACATCTATATATATTTTTAAATATGCTACACAAAAAAAAGACTATGGCACTTTACTGAATACATGTTTAACAAAGGTCATCACACCACAGGTGTTTGAAAACTACAAAAACCCTTAAACAATGTAACATCGTTGAATTAGCACACAGGTTTAAAGAATCCACAGAATCCAAGGCAAATATTTCTGCTTCCTTGGAGTTCACTGAGAAGACCAGCCCATCATGACACTTTCCTTTAAGCACAAATGCAGGCACAAATAAATAAAGGCTTTTCTAGTAGTAGTAGTGGTCCAGCTACATTAGATTTTTAGAATGAGGTGATTAGGTGATGATAGAAATTTATTAGGAAATTAGGTGTGGATCAACAAACAGTAATTGTTTCTAACATTTTTTTCTAGCACATTCCTCACATTCAGTGGTTGTTAAAACAGCTGTGCAGAAGAGTTTTTTAGTCTAGACTAGCATGATTTTAGATGTTCCATTCATCCCAACCAAAGCATGGCTAATGGATAGGAGGTTTAAAAGGTCTAGCATTACCTTTTACTGTCTCTGCTAGAGAAGTTTCATCTCTGCTTACTAAGTGTTTAGGTAGTTTTGGGTGGTTTTGGGTTTTGTGTGTGTGCTTCCTTTGGTATTCTGTAGCATTCAAACTAATGAGATAAACACTGTCAAGTGGCTTTATTCTGGCCAAGAGAGGTCACATTTCCACTTGTGACTGTTATCAGATTGCTTGATGGCCAGTCAGGCAGTAAAGAAGGACATGCTCGGAGGATTCTCTGGGCTTATGACTTGTCTGTAAGGAGAGTGAGATTGTAAGATTAGGTGTTAGAAAAGTGGATTCTCTATCTTGTAAAGGAAAAAAAAAGTTGAGTGAATCTTCTGATGATAAATTTAAGGAAGAGAAAAACTTTTTATCAAGATTATTTGCCTGATAAAGGGAATTGGTTGGTTTGTTTTAAATGAAAAAAGGTTTGGTAAGTAGTTACTGTGGTGGCAGAGGGACTTGGTTGTTGTTAGTTGGTACCAAGTTGAATTTTGACTCGTGGCAACCCCATGTGTGCAGAGCAGAACTGCTCCGTAGGATTTTCAAGGCTGTGACCTTTTGGAAGCAGATCTCCAGGCCTGTCTTCCAAGGCACCTCTGGGTGGGTGTGAACCACCAACCTTTCGGCTAATAGTTGAGCACTTAGCCATCTGCACCATCGGGGGACTCCTAGGGACTTGCTTAGAATATTATAAATGCACAGTCAGGGACAGGAGCCTTGTCCAGTGGCTCCCATAGTCTATTTCCGTTTGGTGTTAGAGACATGGTTAGTGTGTCCTGAGCTCTTACTAATGTAGACTGCTATGAAGATACCTATTTACCCTTCTCTTTAAAAAAAAAAGTTACAGAATTTATGGCTTATGTTGAACTTTGGTCCAGGAATGGTAAACTCATCAAGACCTGCCCCCACCCTGCTCTTAGCTCTTAATCTGTGTGATAAGATGGTTTCTGGAATCTGCTAAAGGCCAGAATGGAATAAAAAGTTGCCCCATTTCCATCTATTTAGATAGCAGTTTGTTCTGCACCAAGGCATGGCTTTAGACTCACACAGCTTTAAGATGATTCACTCAGGCAGAGTTGTAAAATCTGATTCCAGGTTCTATACCTGGTGGACTTACCACACAATACGTTGTGCATAAAATGAGCTTAGTAATCGTTTGTTAAATTTTCAAAACAAAGCCTTCAAGTGAGCAGATTCATGAACCCAAAGAGACCTATACTTTTAATCCTTCCAGAAATCTGGCCGGTCCACCCCACTTGCTTGAGTTGTATTTTCTATATTCTGCAATTCTGAAGCTTAAGGTAATGCCAGACTGGTTTCTTTCTGGCTACTTTGTTCATTCCAAAGTAAATTTAAGGCAATGGCTAGCTAATACCATCTTTTTCCCTGAATTTATGGAAACTAGACTAAAAGCTCCTAAATCTTTTAAAATAGTGGTGTTCAGTTCTTTTTTGTAAACAGGTGTAGGCAGGTCCTATGAGCTTGGTCTGGCTCCTGTTTTTGCATTAACTTTCTACTCTGTGCTTTCCTGGGAATGAAGCCTTTGATGCCAACTCTCCAATGCAGCAATTTAATGTTACTTCAGTCAACCTTCAGGATCCCCACCAGTAACTAGAAAAACTTAACTCCCATGTCTAGCTCCTTTATTCTGTAGAAAATGCCATTCTGCTGCTGATTGGGTTGTAAATACAGCTGACTACAGCCTAGTTACCAAACAGTGGGAAAGGGCTCCTCTCAAGTACTGAAATCCTGGCAAGTCCTCCCAGCCAGTATCTGAATGAGCCACAGCTGCCCTGGAGACCTCTGTCTGTGGAATGAGGAAACAGCGTGAGGTTGCCTTTGGCAGTCAGAGCGCAATCCTAACCCTGGGAGAAAAACCTGTGACTTACAGTGGAAGAGGAGACTCGGCCAGTATGGGCCCTAGCCTGGCTGCTGGGAAGAGGATGAACTTGTCGTCACTAGCAGGATTTTTTACTTTTATTCTCCATATGATTGTTCAGGTGATTATTTTTTCTTTACTCAAAAATTTTTAAAATCTTGGAGTGACAGTTCAGTTGATCCACCCTGGAATTCAGCCTAGAAATAGTTCCACAACAGAATCCCCGTACTGTCCTTGCTGACCCTTTGGTCAGCCAAGCAAGAAAGAGTGTCTTGCTATGCCCTTTAGCAGATATTCTATCCCCAGTAAGTTTATAGTCTTCATTTTAGTCTCCAGCCTAGACAAGTTGTAAGGACTAGGAGGAAAACTAAAGCACCAACCCAAAACCTTTCCTGAGGCAGAGATGCTCACAGGCATGCAAACTTGTGGCAGAAACAGTATCTCAAAACAGCTTGCAAATCTGGCTAACGGTCTCTTCTATTTCCAGAGAAACTGCTGACTTGATGATTAAGATCATCCTTCGGTGAGCCCTGGGGGAGATGGAGTCTGACAGAACTTGTCAACTACATGTCAAGAGTTTATATACTAGTTTCAGGTTCTGTCCCTTAAAATTTGCACTGTGGCTCTCATGTCCAGTAACTTTGCTTAGCTGGGTGTTGCCTCTCATTGGTCCTGTTAAGGCCTGGGGCTGTGGAATGTGGCTTTGGTAGATAGAGGTTAGTTCTCCACTTGACTCAAACGACCAAACAGTAGGTGGATTGTTTCACCAGGTTACACAAGGAAGAAAATGGCACTAATGTCTCTCTTCCAAACTAAAGGAGGCAGATAAGGTTTTTCCCCTCTTCGATTTCTTCCTGTACTTTGTCACTGGAGGTTGCAATTTCCGCTTGTGCAGAGAAGACAGCACAGATGAAGGTCAGGACTGTGCCGCCAATGGCAGTATAAAAGGCCCAGCCCAAGGAGCAGTCTCCAGGTTTGTAGGCAGATGCGTAATGTCCACAGTAGCCTATGGCCTTCTGGCACCCCCAGCCAGCAGGGTAAAGTATCAAACCCAGGATGAGGAACAGACCTGCAGGGAAAGAGAGAAAACAACCACTAAATTAGGTGAAAACTGTAGTCATTGTTACTTGATTTGCTGCTTTAGACAATGGCATATAGAATGTAGTCTGCAAATAGAAAGTGTTAGGCTCTGTTTTAAGCAACTAATCTGACCTGATCAAGAAATATCATCACTTTATTAAAAATATTTTCAGCCACTTTTGTAGCTGTTGGGATATAAATCCACCAATAATTTTTCTTCTAGAGAGCAAATGTAACGTCTTGTCATTTCTTCCTATGGGACCCTTATTTCAGTGATCATTTCCATTTTGGTCTAAGGTAGAGGTCAGCAAACTCAGGTCCTTAGGCCAAATCTGACTTGTGGCCTGTTTTTGTAAATCACGTTTTATTTGTAAATCACGTTTTATTGGAACACAGCCATTTGTTTATGGACTGCCTATCACACTGCTTTTGTGCTAGAACATCAGAGCTGAGTAGTTGCTATAGACCATATGGCCTGCAAAACCTACAATATTTACTATCTGGTATTTTGCAGAAAAAGTTTGCCAACCCCTGATATCAGGGAATACATACAGAACCATCTGATGTAGACCTGGTTAAATGCAAGAGACGGGCAGTGAAGGAGCCCAGACCCTAACCTTGTCAGTGCTTTAAATTTTCAGCATCTTAAGTAAGTCCAGGAGGAGTCTGTTTTATGGCATTCACCAACTGCATGTCTGGGACAGAGTTTCCGTATTTACATATATAATAAGGAAAAATTGCAAGTTTCATATGTGGTTTTTTTTTTGGTCTGGATGCTTTTAAGTGAACGCATCCTTGAATAGATAGTAATAAGCTCTGTTTCTATTCATCTGACCCTACTATCGTGTCATACTAAACATCCATTTTTGTATTCCTCACAGCTTTAGTGCTGATTGTGTACCTGGAATGCAGCAGTTGGGAGTTATTTTTCCTGCCAGCCCTGCTGGGTTAGGAGCTACCACCAGGGCTAGGACGAGGGTGAGGCAAGTGAGGTGCCCAAGGGGCAAAACTTAAGAAGGTCCTCCCTGTTAGGTGCCCACCCTGCACTTGCATGAGGTTGAGATGCCTCACTTGCCTGACCCTGGCTACCATTCACACAGCAGAAGATTCTTATCTTACTCAGAAAAGCCTTGGTAGAAAGTCTTCTTTAAAGACCGTTATTTCACCTTCAAGATTCTGCAAAAGGAGGATGGCCTTATTCTATACAGCAGAAAAAAACTTTTCTCTGAAAAATGACACCTATAAAATCAAGATTGTTAAACCATAACCACAAATTCTGTTTTTAGATACCTGATCAAATACACCTAGGTATATTTTGAAAGGTGTATGGATAGTAGTTCTCTCCTTACGGATGACTCTTGGCTCTAAGTTCTGTTTCTCTTCCTACCTGAACTGAAACTCTCTGGGCTTACCAAACCAAAGATTTCAAGTACAGCAACTTTCTACGAAGAGAACATGACTAAATTGTGGTAGCATGAGGTGTAAAGGAAGTGTTTCAAGCCATGCTTCTTCAGAGCTGAATGACCTCTGGCCCTAACTTTCATAGCTGTCTCCATCTTGCAATGTCAGCTCACTATTAGAGCAGTTTTGGGGTCTGGTTGCCCCTCCTTCCTAAATTAATCCCACTACTCTATTCAGATGATGGCCTCAGGAGGTTTTATAGCAGGGGTGCAGTAGAGGGAATTCATTCATATGATTCATATCTCACTGTCTGAGCAGGGTGATTCACAAAAGTAGTCTTTCTAACCCCAGCAGCCCTCTTTCTCACTAGGTCTGAGTGCTGGGAGCAGGCAAGGCAGTGATGTGTAGCTCGGGAAATGTGGCCCAGTATTATTGGGAAGTGTAAGCTGGACAGGAGCAGCAGACTGAGGCACTGTGGATGGATGGTGTTAGAAATAATGACTGGGAGACTGGAGCCAGTTCCCCCAAGGATAAAGGCAGCCAGTGGAGAATGTATGATTGGAATCCTGGAATATGGAAGGTCCTGAATCCTGGTTGGGTCTGTGGAGTCAAGTCAAAGGGCAGAAATCATATAGCAGAAATGCCCCTACAGTCCAGCATGATGCTAGAACACAAGCTAGCAAAATGATGGGCCATGGCAAAGACTCACTAAAGAAAGAGGTAGTTCAGTTAGTAGTCTAGAGCTCTGGTTTTGGAGTAAATACAGGTTTGAATCCAGACTCAGCTATGTAGGAGCTGGGTGACTTTAAAAAAGTTTCTGAATCTAAGTCTGATTCATCACCTGTAAAATAGGGCTAATCTTTACCTCATGAGATGATTGTGAGTATTAAAGTCTGTGAAGAGTGCCTTCTGTGCCCAAAACAACGAGAACACAGACTAGCAGCCTGACAATAAGTTAAAGCCTTTGGCAAGCCCCTCCCATAATAAACACCAGCAGTTTAAAGTTTACCACTTATGAACAGGCAGATTAGCTTCTTTTTGAAAGGTGTAATATATTTTGAACAGTGTATTCATTTGGGGAGAGAGAAGGACACCAGGCAACAATTAAGGACCTTTGAAAGAAACTATTCTCCATCTGAATAGAAGTTTACTAAGCTGGGGAGACCTAAAATGGTATAACCAATTATTTTTAGCATTTCTAAGGCCTAGGATAAGCTCTGATTAATCCTGACTGCATCCCCACCTTGTTCCCTAAGAAGCCTCACCCATCTTTGGGTACAGGACTGGATTTGAGGGACTGGCCCATGTTTGGGTATACTAGGTGATGCTTGGTAGTTTCCCTCAAGGTCCTAAGTTTCTGCACTGGGCCTTCTCTAAAACTTGACTTGCTCAGGATTCAAAGGTACTCTCTTGCATGCCGCTTCTGCTCTGAAGCTTCAAGGGCAGACCGTAAGTAAGGAGCATTTGAAAAGACCAGAGTGTTCGTATTTGAATTGTGGCTCCAATTAAATATTAATTGCACACTTTGTATTAATGTGGCTTAAAACAATCCCAGTAAGTAAAATGAGATGCACTTTAATCCGTTAGGGACAGAAGACAGAAAGCTTGAAGTTCATTATCACCAGCAGCTCTACCACCCCAGGCCAGACTCTAGCTGGTTGCAGAACCCACAAGATGCCTTAATTTGGCTATCTCAGATGCCTTTTGGAGGTAGGCAGGTTTAAAATAATTGAGAAATAGAATCCTTATTTTAATAGCATCAGACCCCTTTCACAGCATGTGGAGCCCAGCCGGGAACATTCACCTCAGTACTTCTGAGCTCTCTTAGGTGTTCCCTTTTCTAATAGCTCAGATGTGATTCCTGAAGCACCTCAGGCCATTTTAAAATCTTGTGACTGCTACTGGCCCAGTCTGTGAATCAGGATGGCAGAGAGACTTTGCTTATCATGTAACGGTACCGTTGGTTATGAGTTTGTTGAAAGCCTCAGCTTGACTGTTAAGGCCACAGTAAAGTCATGTGGGAGGGTAATAAAAAGTGAGCTGTGGTATGTCTGCAGGGCCCAGTGGATGTGATGTGTGCTGAAACCACACACTCCTAACCTTGGCAGCCAGCCTACACAAACACAAGAGTGCCTTATCCAAATTCTCAGCGGGTCAGTGGGAGGAAGTTGCCACTGTCCCCCCTGCCCCGGGCAGCTGATGGGTCAGAGTGAACCTTTCTTCCCAGCACTCATCAAAGTTGTCACAATGCCATGAAAATGCAAGCCATTAATCTGAGCCCAAGCTGGCCCCAGCGCTCCTTCCTGTCCACTGTTTCTGGGGCCAGGAGCCACTGGCACCCTAACAAGCATGCATTCATCTCCAACGTCATCCCAGCTGATTTTTTTGGGTTCCTAACAAATTTACTGAGAAAAAGCCCACAAAACTTTCCCAACTCAGGTAAATTCCAAATTTCTCTCCCTGACTTTGAAGGCCCTGTGTGATCTGGCTCCCTATTACCCCTCTGAACTCACCTACCTTTCTCAACCTGGCTTTCTGCTCCAGCCACACTGGCTGGCTGGCGCTTCCTTGAACACACCAGGCATGCCCAGGTCTTTGCACTTGCTATTCCTTACACCTGGAATGCTCTTTTTCCCAGTAGCTTTCAGGTCATCTTTAGTTAAATGCCACTTTCTTGGTGTGGTCTTCTGTGCTGCTCTATGTAAAATTTCAACCATTCACCTCTCCCTTACTACTTCCTGCCCTCCTTGCTTTATTATTTCTCCTTAGCACTTATTAATAATTTAGTATATGTTACTTTGAGTCATATGAAACAGTCAATGCTTGACAATATTTTTACCTACAAAAGTGGCCATTTCACATGGTTAAACCTCGTATTTTACTTAATTAGTTTTGATTACTGTATGTCTCTATCCTAGATCTGAAGCTCTATGAGGGCAGGGATTTTTGTATATTTGGTTTACTACTGTAAAGTCAGTGCCCATCATAGTGCATGGCTCATAGTAGGGCCTTAATAAAATTTTATTGAATTTAATACAATTTGTTTTGTAATATTTCTAAACCATAATGCCCCTGGGGTAAAATGGCAGAATAACTTCTCAACAAATACCAATCAATAAGAATGAAATGTGTCAGCAGGAAAGAAAATAGAGACCCCTTAGCTGGTTGGGCTTACCTGCTACACTGTCTTGTTCTGGACCTGTGAGTCCCTGGGTATAGAAGGAAACTTGTGCCCTGACTTGCAGATGGGCTTGATGACACCAGCTCACAAAATAGAATTAAAATCAATGACTTCTTAAATTGGCATTTGAGACAACAGGGAAAGAATACAGTAAGACATAAGCAAGTTTCTTGCAAGCCTGGCATGATTTTCCTGGTCCTCAATTTGGAGTGTACCCCCAGAGACTATCAACTTGGTTGTGGGTTATGTCCAGAGGCCAAATGGAAGGTGGAGTGTGCTCTGGATTGAGTTTCACATAAGAGCTGAGCCAAAACTGGTCAGATCTCCCTCTGCAGCTATTAAAACAAGCAGTTCCTGAAGTTAAGCCAGCCTCTAGTGGCCTCTAGGGCCTTCCCACTGCCTTGCCTTATTATACCATTGGGATATGTGTCTGTGTGTGTGGTAGAGGGTGACAGAGAAGGTGAGGGACTAGACATTTACTTTTACTGGCGTGTCTCCCTGGTGCCTGGATGAGCTGCAGCAGGCCCAGCTGGGAGGCGAAGGAAAAGCAGGGAGAACGATAACTGGCCATCAACCAAAGAAAACAGCCACCATGGAAAGAAACCATAAGTAATTGGAGGCTAGTGATCTCTTACATGGCTTGGTCTAATAAGACACTAGCCCAAGAAGGTACTATTTTAACAATCTTAAAGGATACCTTCATCCTCGTATTTTCTCTCTTGCTAACAGTCTCCCAGCTGATTGTACCAAGAGGATTAGATGATGCCTGCATATGCTGACCCTGGGAGGGGAGGGACTCAACCTTATCTAGGACAGAAAAATATGTGACAAGAAACTGATGGTTAGTTACCTGGATTACCATATAGATACCACCATAAGTTGGAGACAGCCCTGAAAACCTCACCAGCAAGTACCTCCTGGTGCTGGCCTTCATGGTCACGTGAGCACCAGCTCCTCCAATGCCAGCACCTACCCTGCCCCTCCACATGCCCCACCTGGAAGGAGCTTTCAGATTCAACTTTGGATTCCTAGCAACTTTCTCTTCCTGCACAGGAATTTTTAATGTTTCAACCTAAACATTAATTTGGGTTTAACTCAAATAATTAAACCATGAGCTCCATGAGGTAAGAACTGTGTCTTATCACTGTGGTTCGCCTGTGACATAGAATATGCTAAAGAAATGAAAGAAACATTCCAGAACCTCTCCTAACGCTGTGACCACCCACATCCCCAACCCAACCAGGAAAAGTAAAGTCTTAGTCCTCTTGCCTTCTGCTCAACATTCAGCACTGACGGATCAGACCAGCCACAAAATTATATGTCTCGAGTCATTTTCTTGCTACTGCCTTGGAATCAAGTAATACGATACAAAATACAAGTTTTAATTAAATCCCTTAGGTGGGAAGAAAAATATCTCCGTAGTCCTGCCAAGCTCCCAATTTTGGAATGGCTAGGGGTTGCTGAATACAATGAATAATATTTTATTTGCTCTGAAGATGACCAGCACAAGCTTAGGAATATGGGATGCTATGAGCCAAGTCTGAACCACAGCTCTTCAGCTTATGAAGGAAGTGAGAAAAGGCTTAGGGGCTATTTTACAACCTTTCCTGGGCTTTTTTAGTGCCTTCTGCTTCCCTCCATATCAGTCACACAATCACTACTCTCCATCACTACTTGCTGGCCAAGGGACTGGACTCAAGATTTCTTGTCTTTTGTGGGTCACCCACCATTCGTATAGAAGAAGGCTATTTTTCTTAGCCTGAAAAATGTGAGAACTGTAAGTTGGCTCTTGTCCTCCAGAATAGCTGTGAACAAGTGTCTTTAGACATCACTCATGTACTTCCTCTTCAGACAGGCTTCCAGACTAAATATTAAAGACTGACTAGACCTCAGTTTGCAAAGGAAATTCTTTAAGGACAGGAACAAAAGAAAGCCATGTGTCACTGCTACCGGCAACCTGCAGAGAAGCCACCAGTGAGAGATGCAACACTTAGTTTCTGCTAAGTCATAAACAAGAAGCACATTCTAAAGCTATGAACTAATATCTCTGGAGAGAGTTTTCACAGTAGACAACTGACAGCAGGCTTAGTGTAAGGTATCTTTTGATAACATGAAGACTGGGAATTCCAAAACATTTAACTGTGCTTGTGCGGAACCTGTACGTGGATCAAGAGGCAGTTGTTCAAACAGAACAAGGGGATACTGTATGGTTTTAAATTGGAAAAGGTATACAGCAGGGTTGTATCCTTTCACCTTACTTACTCCATCAGTATGCTGAATAAATCCGAAAAGCTAGAGTATATGAAGAACGTGGCATCAGGGTTGGAGGAAGGCTTATTAACAACCTGTGATATGCACATGACACAACCTTGCTTACCAAAAATGAACCTGACTTGAAGCACTTAGTGATGAAGGTCAAAGACTACAGCCTTTAGTATTGATTACGCCTGAATGTGAAGAAAACAAAAATCCTCAACTGGACTGATACCATCAGGATAAATAGAGAAAAAATTGAAGTTATCAAGGATTTCATTTTACTTGGATCAACAGTCAACATTCATGGAAGCAGCAGTCAAGAAATCAAACCGTAGATTGCACTGGACAAACCTGCTGCAAAAGACCTTTTTAAAGTTTTAAAAGGCAAAGATGTCGCTTGACCCAAGCCATCCATGGTCTTTTCAATTGTCTCATATGCATGTGAAAGCTGGACAGTGAAAAAGGAAAACAAAAAGAATTGATTTATTCTAAGTGTGATGTTGGCAAAGAATATTGAATTTATTGTGGACTGCCAGAACAATGAACAAATTAGTCTTAGAAGAATACACCCATAATGTTCCTTAGAAGCGAGGATGGTGAGACTTCAACTTGCTTACTTTGGACACGTCACCAAGAAAGACTGTCCCTAGAAAAGGACATCAGGGTTGGTAAAGTAGAGGGTCAGTGAAAATGAGGGAAACCCTCAATGAGATGGACTAACACAATAGCTATAGCAATGGACTCCAACATACTAGCAATCAGAAAGTTGGCACAGGACCGGGCACTGGTCACCATAAGTTGGAGCTGACTTGACAGTAACTAACAACAATAATCTTTTGATAAATTTGGCTCCAATTAGTTAATTCCTAAGGAGTATCCACTAAGTACACACTATGTGCTCATCCCCATGCCAGGCCATGGTAGGGTTATAGGAGTGGGATGTTGTAGGGCTTCATGGGCTTTAGACAATTTAGATCCTTTGAGGCCAGCAAGGCTCAATGAATCTGGTCACAATACACACATCACCATTCGCTGAACAAGAGGTTCTTATTCATGCTGACCCATGGATCCCTCATCGACCTGGAAATCTCCCCCTCATCCCAGTTCAAACGTCATCTCTATGTAGAACATTTGTTACTACTTCCTGCCAGAATGATATTCTCTTTGTGCTCCACTACCCTGTGGACATCCCTCCTCTTCAGCTCTTCGTGCTATTTTTGTGTATTTAATCAAGAAGTATTAACTGAGTTACCTACTATGTGTCAGACAGTATTCTAGGTCCTGAAGATATAGCAGCCTCCCAGGGGGACTCTGGGCCCCTCGCAGGCAGAGAAGCTTTATTCCTCTTGGTATTCCTTATACCCAGCACGTGTCGTGCATTTATTATTAGGTACTCAGTGTTTCCTGAATCAACACTAATTCTCAGGAGACATCACAATTTTGTCATAACATTCAATAATAAACCTGATGGGTATATGTCACAATTAGCCTTGGGTAACCAGGTCAAGAGCTCTAAATATTTCTGGCTCGGAAACATCCACTGACTCATTTAGGAACACAGCAGGATACCTTCTGACTATTAAACGTCCATTCCTCTGCTAATGTTTCTCTGAAAATATGGGGGAAAAAGAAACACCCAGGGTTGTCTATCAGGTCTGCTATGTGACTCAGAGGTCTGGGCCATGGTCCTAACTAAGCCTGAGACTCAGTCTTAGTTGACCCAGCTCACTTCACTACAGCGGAATGCCAGAAGGCTGCCCTGCCGCCGCATATCCCAGCCTCCCACCTCTCCAACATGAAACAGGAGGCAGGCAAGAGACTTAGGAGTATCCCATCCCTATTATACTGGGAAAACTCAGAAAGCATTGCTGGCTAATTGGGGGTAGTAGCTTTATCTTTATCCTTACAGAAAATGATACTTTAATCAGCAAGTTCAAAAAGTACTGACAGTACTGGACTAAGGGAAAACTAGGCCAAGGCAGTCATTATCACATGGCGTTTAAACCATCTGCCAGTGTTTGTTCAGCCTCAGGGTGGGAAACGTCACTGGCTCTTCCTTCTCAGGATCCTTTGCTCTTCCTTATCTTTCCAGTCTCTAAACACTGGAGTGCCCAGGGATCAATCCTTGGTCCTCTTTTCTACCTCCATTCCTCTTATTGATCACTCTTGGTCCCACAGCTTTAAATACTACTTCTATACTGATGTCTCCTGAATTTTTATCTCCAACTTTGAACTCCAGATTTGTATATCCAGCTTCCTACTTTGAACTCCAGATTTGTATATCCAGCTTCCTACTTGACCTCCACTTGGGTGTCTAACACAGTACTTGAAAATTATGTCCAAATCTGAACACTTGATTCCCATTCCCCATGCAAAAACCTGTTCTTCACCTTGTCAATCCCATCTCAACAACTGGGACTCCAGTCTTACAGCTGCTCAGGTCAAAAACCTTGGAATCATCCTCAACTCCTTCCTTTCTCTTAGGGCCTACATTGATCTGTCAGCAAAGCCTACTGGCCTTCATTCTAGCTAGCTATTCCCTCTGCCTGGGATGCGCTTTCTTCTGATTAGCCACATGGTTAACTCCTTCATCTCCTTCAAGTCTTTGGTTAAATCTCTTCTCAATGAATCCTACCCTGTCTATGCTATCTAAGAGTACAACCCTCCTCCCGCCCCACCCAACATACCTGACCTCTCTTATCCTTGGCTACACCTTTTTCCCCCCATAGCACTCAACATCTTTTAACATACTATATAATTTACTTATTTTGTTTATTGTCTGTCTCCACCAGCTTGAATATGAGCTCCATGAGGGCAGGGAGTTTTGGAAGTTTATTCTTTGTTTCCCAGTTGCCCAGAACAATGTCAGACATGGAACAGGTGCTCAGTCAATACTTCTTTTGGATGAATGAAAAGAGTGTGCTGTGATGTGATTATTTTACATTAAATTTTTAAATGAAGCCACTGTGGAAAGTTCTTGCCAAGTTTGTGAAGTGGCTAGAGGAAAAGCTTCAGTCAATAACATAAATCCCAGGGGTTGGTAATTTTGGCCAGTAGAATACCAGCTATGCTGTTCCCGCTGAAATGCACATAACGTCCAAACCATGGGATTGGCCTTTAATTTGACTGCCAGCACTGAAAACCTCATTCTTGGCTACAGAAAATGGCTATTTGGTGAGAGATCACATAGAAAAAAAGTAGTAAGCTGATTAAATGTAATAAATTTTCAGTTATGTAGAGAACCAGCCTTAGTTTAGCCTCAAAACTCTGAAATTATTTCCACCTCTGTCTGGCTACAGAGAGGACTGCTGAAAAGACATGCTGTGGCTGCCCTGTGGAATGTCCCGGGCACCAGCTGGGTGAGAAGCAGCAGTGTGGGAAAAACCTGGACAAGCGCAGGAAACTGACAAGTGATAGAAGACACAGGGATAAAAGGGGAAATGAAGAAGGAGGCAGACTGTGACAGGTTGCATACGAGGAAAAGGATGGTATCTGAGGCACAGAGCAGTAAAGTAAGCTTATACAGCTAATCAGTGGTAGCGCTGGGACTC